AGAAGAAGAAAGAAAAGAAAGAAGAAGAAGAAGAAAGAAGAAAAAGAAGAAGAAGAAAGGGTTAGCAGGGAGAGACAGGACAAGCCTCATTTGTCAGATGCAGCTAAAAACAATCCTATTCCCCACAATACCCTAGACACAACATGGGGTGATAGCATTTCCATTAGCAAATTCCCAGTGACATGGAAAGAGGATAAGAGAAGATATTTCTCTATCAACAGCTACTGCACAGTCTGTGCCTCTTGTGTTGGGTGGTGTAACATTATGCACCGCAGACCACCACTGAACTGTGGAACTGATCTACTTTCTGGATCCACATAATGCAAACCGCAGTAACCCAGCCTAGCCTTACGTTTCTCTTCCCATTCTCGGCCTCTCTCTAACCTTACTCTCATCACACTGTACGTGTAAATATGTACAAAATTACATCGTGCATGGTGCCTGTCAGATTACGTAGATCATCGCACCATTCAGATGTGTCTAGGTATCTCCTATATCGAAACTTTTAGTCGCTACTCAATGGATGCCCTGGTACAACTGCTGCAGCAGTGACTTTTTGGGGTAGATAAACTGGTTAGGCGATCACTCACGCAATAAATCTCTCTAACCAGATTATATTCGTCAGTGTTAAATTTCGTACAATGCGGATATCTTTGTCATAGCAGGCTGCCCAACTCTGTCCTAATATTGTCTCATCGCTCACGGAAGGCTTGCATGTATGATCGACATATTGCCGCAAAAAAATCACGCTGCTCGTGTTCCCTTGCTAAAAACATTTGTGTTGTATACCTTAAGTGTAAGTGAATACTGTAAAACCTGAATATATTGAGCGGCCATAATTATATTTAGGTTTCGTTTGTTACTTCGGATCCACATAGTATACACAATCCAAGGATACAGAACAGAGAGTGAGCTTCGTCCTGGAAATGATTTACCACCAGTGACGGATCTCTGAACTAGCCATCTCCTTCCCGGATCACAGCTCATCTGGGACCCAGACTGACACTCAAAGGGAGACTGCCAAGAGGTGAGGAACTGTCCATTACGTCCCACTGCCACTCCCAGACTACCACTATCTAGTACTACACTTGCCAGCAGTGACATGGTAGGATATAGGTATATGTGGGCTGTGTCTGTGACGCACACTCAGTGGCTGGGAATAAAAGCCATACTCCCAGTCTTGGTGTGGGCTTCATCAGTGGACATCATAGTAGACATTGTGGTAATCTCTACTTCTTTCTCTCCCTTCTCTTTCCCTTCCCTTCCCTCCTCTCCCTCTCTTCTTTCTTCTCCCTTCTCTTTCCTTCCCCTCCTCCCTCTCCCTTCTCTTCTCCTCTCTCCCTCCTCCCCACTCTCTTCTCCTCTCTTCCCTTCCTCTCCCCCTCTTCTCCCTCCCTTCCTTTCTCTCCCTCTCTTCTCCTCCCTTCCTTTCTCTCCCCCTCTCTTCTCCTCTTTCCCTTCCTCTCTCCCTTCCTCTATAAAGCCAAGTAAGGTGTTTGTATGGTGTAAGGATTGAAGCCAGTCTTATTGCAATAGCTGGATATCAAAACTGAAAATATTACACTCTCCATTGCAATTAGAGTGGAGAGGTTTCTAGATAGGTCGTTACACAGGGTCTTACCTACCATCGCCCCCACCTCTGAAACCCATGCTTTTTTGAAAATCCTTCACATTTGGGGTTTGTAAACCCTCCACGAAGATTTATCTGCAAACCGATACACAGTTTTCCTCTACTGTTATGATAGAGACCCAGCTAACATCCATCCCTCTAAAGTCTGCTACTGTATATGATAGAAGACCCACTAACATCCATCCCTCTAGAGTCTGCTACTGTATATGATAGAAGACCACTAAATCCATCCCTCTAGAATTCTGCTACTTGTATATGATAGAAGACCAGCTAACATCCATCCCTCTAAAGTCGTGCTACTGTTATATGATAGAAGACCCAGCTAACATCCATCCCTCTAAGTCTGCTACTGTATTGATAGAAGACCAGCTAACATCCTCCTCTAAGTCTGCTACTGTTCATATGATAGAAGACCCGCTAACATCCATCCCTAAAGTCTGCTACTGTATATGATAGAAGACCCAGCTAACATCCTCCCTCTAAAGTCTTGCTACTGTATATGAATGAGACCCAGCTAACATCCTCCCTCTTAAGTCTGCTACTGTATATGATAGAATACCCAGCTAACATCCATCCCTCTAAAGTCTGCTACTGTATATGATAGAGACCGCTAACATCATCCCTCTAAAGTCTGCTACTGTATTGATAGAAGACTCCAGCTAAAACATCCATCCCTCTAAAGTCTGCTACTGTATATGAATAGAAGACCCAGTCATATTAGCAGCCTAACAATCCATCCATACTGAAAAGGGAACTAATTTGTATACCAATGGCAAGGTATGGGTGTCAATCGACTCGGAGATGGATACTTGCGCATATACATCTAGCAATCTATAGTGAGTGCATTCTTCTGTGGAGTGGATTAGCACGTGGTGTGCAGACAGATGCTAGTGCAACTCTCACGTGACGGTGTGGTGGACGAAAGTTCTCGCACGCGAAGTTATTCATACACTCACTCCACGCATTGTGAGGGTAGTCAGCGGTTATGACAGGGCCAGCGTACGGGGCAAGACTCGAGTCGATATATCTCACTGATATATGTATAGAGAATTTAAGCAGGATCAGTTGTGGATGTATATAGTACTAACAAAGTGAAAATTGGAATGGACGAGGAAGCTCGACACTAAGGTTGAGTGTTGTTAAGGACATGGACTCACACGAGCAGATTCCAGAGGATCGAGGAATTATAATTTATACAGACGACATAGGTAGATCTATACGCGAACACCCGCACGACTACTAAGTATTATATGGAGGAGAATACTATGTGGAGTGGAGTATGCGATGTTTGACCGTAAGCGTCTTTGTGGACGAGAGGTAGCATCTCTAGCATTACAGCACGACTTCCAGCCGAGACGAGAGGTCATTATTAGAGTTCGCGAACATGATGCAGATGCTGTGACATTCAGTTTAATCTCACATTGAACAAGCAGAGCCTGGAGGCCACTATCAATCACGTATACTCTGAATTTGACTCAAGTCGATGTATGTGTAACCCATATTTTCAGCAAGAGGCGAACACTCGCACACTAGGAGAATAGAATATAAAGCTGTATGGGAAGGGAAGGCTGTACCGTTGCGATTTTAGATAACTGAAACCGGTAGATGATCGCCAGTGATACAAACGCATCGGCTTGGCTTGTGAACATCTGCAAAGCAGCCGAGCTGTACAATGTCTAGGATATATTACCAGGGTGCTCTTAGGAGCGATAAGATTGACTTGGTGGGAACAGTGGATTGTGTAAGTAAGGATAGTAAGTGACGTAGGGAGACATAGTTCTGTTCATGCATTGCTTTACATACATTCTGATACAAGGTTCAGGCACAACACACACACAGTGAGAACGCCACACAACACACGCAACGCACAGCACACTGAAATCTGACCTATTGCTGTATTATACGGATAATCAGATTGAAAGATGTCTATGTGTCTGTGCAATTGTACTGTTGGGGCCGTCAGCAGCAGATTGTACACACACACTGCCCCGAATCTATTGTCCATTTACGAGAACAGGTCCCCGTCTTCAGCCTAACACGTTAACGGTAAAGACACGCGTGGGGCAAAGAGTAACCATATCCATTGTAGTCTCAATTCAGAAAATTATCAATTATTCAGTGTAAGCTTGTTCCACTTTCTGGCAAAGCAAAATGTTAATGTTGCACTGGCGAATTCAGCCACCCAACTATTACGTAGAGTATGAGTGTATGTAAGTCACTTAGGGCATGTCTCCATGTTACACATGCTAATTGACAGGGTCAGTGAGCCGCCTGACCTCGCTAATTACGACCGGAACATGTCTCCCATGTTACATATGTAATTGACAGGGTCAGTGAGCCGCCTGACCTCGCTAATTACGACCGGAACAGATCATTCTGCTGAACATATCACCCAGACAAGGCAGCAGCCAGCAGTCATTCCTTCGTATATGTAAATCACAGTTTACCTCACTAGAGTACATGTCTTTCGTATTTTATGGTCTAGTCTAATCCCTACCCCTGCCCACTTCTCGTATTTCATTGTCCACGATTTATATGAAGTAAGAACCTACACATTTCTCATTCAACCGCGGCAGAGTAATAAATTCATTATTCCTCTAGCGTGAAAACATGCTGCACGTACATGTGACAAGAACAAGGTCACATACATACATTCTTAGAACATGTGTGTGAAAAAATGGACGCTCCCTTTACTCTGTACTCTCGATGTGATTGGTTGTGAAGTTACTAAGAAACAGACTTGTACCAAGAGAACATGCAAAACCAGCACGCAATTTTCCTCACCATGAATATACATACATCAATGGCCGAGTAGGAGGCAAAGGCATAAGGCTTTTAACCCCCCCAACCACGACACAGTGGCACAAAGTAACTGACCATATAGAGCAATAAAGCCACAGCAGTTACCACCACCCACCATGTGTGAAAGGTGAGTTTACAATAGACAATTTACGCAGTGTGATGTGACCGACCACTCACTTCCTGGACCACTGTACTACATGGAACATGGTGTCCTAGCAACCGCTAATGTGAACAAAGTCTATTTACACAGCATCTGTTGTTCCCTAGCAACCATACAACAACAGGGAGAAATTGTCTATATAGCCTTTGTGAGGAGAGGATTCCTTCCGTCCAAACGTGAGAAAAGAGACAATCAGATTGTTTAGCAACAAACAGCAACTGATCAGACGGATGTATGTATGTATGTATGTGGGTGTGATGACATCACTATATTTGTGACATCATGTGACATCATCCCACGAAAAATGTGGCGGCCATTGTTACGCAGGTATACAAGCAGACTGAGTCCATTGTTCAATGTCGTGAGAAAAGACAGTTTCACTGCTTCAGTTGACCCACTGCGAAAATCAACCATCTGGCTAACTGCGTATAAACTATTTGTAAATAGCTACGTTTCCCCGCGCAACCCGCACATGCATTAAAACAAGTGTGCGTCGTACTAGTAGGTTAGGCATCTTGTCCGTCTACACGCACTCGGAACACTACAATTCAAGGTCCCTCGGGTTTATAATGCATGGTAGATTTCAGTCTAACTATAAAGATTGTGTAAGTGAGCAAACCTTGGCAAGAATCTCCAGCAGAAGGTCTAGAGAATCCTCCGATACAAGCTGAAAGAGATATTACATATTTAGATGAGATAGTGAGTAAAGCAAATACAGCAGCTTTTTGGCTATTCAACTCTGTCATGTGAGACTTTAACCTATTACGCTTTGTGGAACACCTGGTGTGACCACCCAGCGTACAGTATGCTAATGCGCATGGTCGGCCACGATGGCATGATTACTCGTTGTCAAGATAGCAGGTGTGGCCTGGGTGGAGTCAGGCCCCGCCGACATGGTGTGGCGGTGAGAGTACTAAGTGCGTAGCTTAGCCCAACAGGCCCATCAGCAACCTATACAACTGATAAAATCCCGTCCACACTGACCACCTATCACACTGAAGGCTGCGCTCCAGTGGAGGTTGCTCATGCCATTAACGGGTGGGTTATTTAGGGTGGGAAGAAGCTGCTCAGTTGCTGGCGGGAGAGCCACGCGCACAATGGGAGCTGCCATGCTCAGTTGCTTTGACGAACACCCCTCCCCTGCTGTACAGGTATATACAACCCTACGCATGCCATACCCGCTCCAGTACTCACGCCTGTGAACACCCAACCACCACCAGCGCCATGAAAACGTGCGATGCCATCGCTCATATGTTAACTCCGTTTAATGGGACATTTAACACATGCAACTTTAAATGTATGGGGGCACACAACATGTTAGCATGGTCTGCTATTATACCCATACATTTAATGTGTCAGTATATAAGGGCTACAATTAGAACAAAACAATAGGGGCACAGTGAAAGAATGCAATTACCTTCCGTTTTTAGTAACAATACAATTATAATGCCCTTATAATTATAATGCCACATTGCTTTAAAGTTGCACATCTCACACAACAAGGTTGCATCACATATGGCACACACATACATAATATGTCTACAGACCTGTACAGCCTCCGTTTGGGTCACTGGTGGAAGTGGCACCATTCACAGGAGTCGCTGCGTTAGTCTCACACTCACAGACACCTGGAGGACTGGAGAGCTCTCTGCCACTGAAGTCAGGACACATGACACAGTCTCCATTGTACAGTAACATGTCCTTTGGACAGTCTGGAGGTTGACAAAAAGATAGCTGAATGCTATCCACCACTTCATGGATTGTTTTAGGGAAAACAATAAAATGTAAGGTTGAAAAATATATAGTTGATTGTTATACACCATTCCACTTATCCATGATTGTTTTATAGAAAGCAATAAGATCTAAGGTTGAAAAAATTGCTGAGTGGTGTACACCATATCCATAGGCAAAACATAAAATCTATAAGGTTGCAAAAATATTTGGCCCAGCCCTTCATCTCTCCAGACAGACGTCTACGGACGCAGTGCTATGCCGAACTGCTATGCCGAACTGTACGCTGCCCTTTGAGAAACGTGGGTCAGTGGTAGATTCGTGGGTAAGGGGAGGAACCAGAGCTGTTCCCAGCCAATGCTCTGGACCACCTGACACTTTAGTGCGGGATCGGGATTCGAACCGGGCACCTTATGTGACAGTCCCCACGTCTCTAACCACTTAGCCACTGAGCCACTTGGGCTGGCCACCAGAGGTGATGAAAAAACATTCCTCTTATATCAACACGCATATTACATCATGGGACAACAAGATTTGGTGACTTACTGTTACAAGGACCATCGGAGGTGGACATACTCCCACCACTGGTGACCAGAGCTGAGTTACAGGTACAGGAACCCTCTGGATCATCAATGTCTCTACTGCTTCCTCCTGGACATGGCCGACACTCCTCCTCTACCCTGAAATAACTGGTGTTGCACACTGCCGCGTGTGGAGACAGAGAGGGGAAGAAAAAAGAAAAATATAGATCAACCTTTAAAAATTGTATATACCTAAAATACATAGCTGGTGTTGCATATGGCGTGTGGAGGGAAGGAAGAAGGTACAATATAGAGAAAATGGGAACAGTTTTTGTAGCAAAATTGTAAGTGGGGAAATAGGGAGCCACCTCCAAACTACATCTTGCCTCCAACCCCTCAGAAATGGTTTGTGAACGCAAGAAATTATTGAGAGAGAAAAACCAAACTCACAGTTGCAAGGTTCACTTGGGCTTTTGGAGGATTCTCTGTAGTAACCAGTTGCACACACTGAATGAAAAGAAACATGCGAGTCACGAACAGGAACATGAGTTTATGGCGAGCAAACACAATTTCAGAGTTACAGTTGCTCAGCATACAAAAATTATCATGCATGAAAAACCTGCACATTCAGACGACTAGTACAGGTCGACCCATTTAACTCTCAAAACACACACAATTGATGTCTTGACACAACTTCTCACGTACTTGAGCAGATGGTGGTAGGACTCGATTCGTCATTGACAAGGTTCCCCGTGCAGGTACAGGACGTCATTTCGTGTCCAACCTCTCGAACACTTCCTGATGGACACGGATCACACGCACCTCCCGATGTCATGAAGAAGTTTTCAACACATTCTAGTGAGGAGCAAAGAATAGAAAGAGAAACGAGGAAAAGCTCTTGGGGCGTTGTTTTAGACTGGTCTGGAACTTCCTACAGGAGACTGGGCTTCAACAAAGTCAGTCGACGGGCTTACTCTATTATCGACTCACTCTCTACTCCAGCACCTGAACCTCCCAGAATGTGAAAAGTGACTTACATTGGAAAAATATATATTTTTTAAAACTATCCCAACAAGTTTGATTATGACTCGCACGTATAATATTGCATAATGGCTACGTTGTACATACATATGTACGTGCATCATACACATTCTTGTGAGACCGGCGAGTCAGGAATGGAAGTATATAAGTAGAGAGGACAAGAAAATGGGGTTTCTTATCAACTATGGCTCTTACATAATGTGTACGTACATCACAAGTTTGTGAAATGTAACATGCCTAATAGAGACTAAACACACTTTCAAGCAAGAATTAACAAAGAATTTTTTACGATGTTTAGGAAATGGTGTAGCTCTTACCGCCACACGAAGGTCCAGTGTAGCCAGGTGCACACCCGCAACCAGTCCTGCCAGAGTTAGGGACCTGGCCATTGGTACAAGGCTCACATTGTTCGTTTCCCACTGTCGCCTTGAACAAACCAGCACCACACGCTGCAGAATGTGCATGTGTGTATTGCAGGAAGTTGTGGCAGAGAGATGCAAGAGAAAATGAGAGATACAAAGAGAATTAGGGAGTTGTATATAAGTCTCCATGAGTACATACATACCTACACCAGTGTTCAACTGTTAGCTAGACTTTGCAATAATTATTATGTTTTAGCATCTCAAAAGCATCGGTTAACTACTTTTGAAAAAACTCTTCCACGAAAATGTTACGTACACACATAATATTCTTATTGGTTAGTAAACGGTATGTGTTGATCAATATGAAGATTAGCCAACTTTGTGTACATGTATGTATATACTACATACGGAGAATGAAAATAACATGTTTTGGTTGTGTTTGTTAACTGTTACACAGGATGCACCCAGCTTTGTGTTGGTGTCCATTAATTAGCAATGCTGCCAGACTCATGCAGGGGGGAGAAAGGGAGTAATAATACCTACACTCCAAACAAAAACAGGGCGACATTAATTAAAACCGACACTAACCTGAGTTGCACATGTGTGTGGGTAAAAGAATGCACGGCTATAACACATGCCAGTGACCACCATAATTTCTCATATGCAACCTCCCTTCTCCTCCCCCTTCCCTCTCCCCCTATCTTTACCTTTCCCGCTACACAGTACAATAATTGTATTGTGGCAGAATCATCCATACACATGGCAGTAAATCTATAGAAAAGCCAGCTTCTGTCAGGAGTCAATAACCCAAGGACAGTGAGTGGAAAACAGTGCACAAGAACTCCAAGATGAAGGCTGTCTTCCCCACTCCTTTCTATAAGACTGTATTTACAGTGGAACTCCTCTCCCAATGACACCCTTGAAATGAGGACACCTCTCTAATATGGACACCCCTGAAATGAGGACACCTCTCTAATATGAAATGAGGACACCTCTCTAAGGACACCCCTGAAATGAGGACATATCACTAATGAGGACACCTTTTTTTCACAAACAAACTGCTCTTTCATGGTAGTACATATTGACCCCAGAAACTATCACTCCCTCTATCTCTAACCACCAAGTCCAGCAGTATAAAGGGATGGGCATGGCGTAATCATAGATGTATGGGGCTATGATCATACTGACCTTCACAAGCAGTCAGATCGTTGTTAGGAGTGAACCCGGCCAAGCAATTACACGGAGCTGAATCACCGACAACAGTGCCCCACACAGAATCACCAGAGCAGCCCGCTCTAGCTGTACCGTCCGACTGTGCATTAGCCACACACCCAGTGGAGTCAACTGGACCTATGCCCGGGTCGGTCTGCTGATAGTTTGCCAGTTGGAAAACGGTGGCAGGGCAATCCTGGTACTGCCATATCCTGTAGCTGTCGATAGTCACGCACTGCGTCGCCGTAGATGAGTTGTCAAAAGTAACACTGTATTGAACTCTAACAAAATCTTCGTTCTGTGTTAGATCATTAGTTTGTGCGGAACCATCGCAATTAATATTCACAGTCTCAATGGTGGTAGAGTCACTAAACACATCAATTCTCAGGACGCAGGCTGGACACATCTCGCACATAAACGACGTTTCGACATGGACGGGATCGTTTTGTCCGGGGGAAAAGCTGAATGATTGTATTTGCAATTGGTTACTATCGGCACTACTAAAATTGCTGCAGATAATCAAGGAGTTATCGCAGACTCCATTATCGATCCACATCCACCCAACCTGCAAGGAACAACATACACGTACAATGTTTAGATCTCCTACACCTTCACGAAAAAGTGAGACAAATATATGTATTTTAAAAGTGATGGCGTAACATTGCGTCACTGTAGTCGTACAGTCTTTCTTCACATGCAAGAAAAATTGACAGGCAAAACGAAAGTTGATTAAAAAATTCGCACACTTTTCTTGTATTATAATTGGAGAAAAAAGGCTCTCAGAGTTCAGAAAAACTTGGTACGGTTTGCTTTAAACGGCAACTCACGTACAACAAAAGCAATGGTGTGTTCTATAGTTGATTAACTCACTTGAAACACAGTCATTGTGTCCGAGCTACTGTCATAGGCATCAAGGAAGGCAACAGTGTCTTGTCTTTCAGGAAAACTGGCAACAGCAGTGATACATGCAAGGTTGAAATCGTCTGGAGAGCCGCTGCCTCCAGCACTCGTGAGGTGATGGAGGGAGAGGAGAGAGGAGAGGAGGAGGGGGAGGAGGGGAGATGGAGTCGAACGATGCATCACCTGCAATGTTAGGCGGGATGAAGTAAAGAGGACCCAAAAGTAACTACCATTATACACACATTTTTACACACCTCGGCGTGCTCTGTACTAGAGTGAACGTTGCATATGTAGTAAGTAGATAACAGTTAACATAAATTAGTAATATTCCGAGTCGTTCAAATCTTTACTTTCCAAATGCATGGCGGACAATGGGGTTGTTTTTCATAGAAAATTAATTGTTCACTAGATACTTCCCACACAACCAATTAGTTTTCTTGAATACACGTTAGTAAAGATTGGTAGCGTTTTTTAATTATTATTGGCTACTCAGGATTTAGTAGGGGCATGCATGAAACACACACATGCCAAACTGGCATGCTACGTAATTGAGATGTGAATACATGGAATCCAGTTCCAGATTACGTAATTGGTTAAATTCCCACTAATCAGCAGTAATAGCACACACCAACTATACACAATCAAAACAACACCTGACACTGTACACAGCATGTCTCAACAACTTGGAACAAGGTAGGGTAAGGCAAGGCAAGGCAAACAAGTCAACTGTACCCAGGACAGCTCTTTCCTTTCAAAGAAGAGAAGAAGAGTTGCCCTGGGTGGGATTCTAACCCACGACACTCTGCAACCTACAGGCGAGCGCTCTACCAGCATGCACACCCACCCATCAACACATGTGTACTTATTGCAAAATTTCTTCAAAAGGAAAAACATCCTCCATTTGTGTAGGTGAGTTCTCCATAGAGCTCCGTTACAAGTGAAACCACCCAACCAAATGTGTACACTAGGGGACAGTAACACAGTGTTCAGATATGGACATGAGGGTATCACGCAGTAGGTGGCTCTGTGGGTGGACTAGTTGCACACACTCACACACGCGGACATTCCATGGACTAAATAGGTCAATGTTGATACCCCATGCCACACTTTGTCGTCCACTGTCGAATTGCTGTTGACTGTCGAATTGCTACGGTCTTCTAAAGAACTGGACTTCAAAGAGAACGTAAGGATTACTGTCAGATGACATTTAGCTAATGCAACATGCTACAGTTCATCCACCTCCTTAACATCTCCATACAGTCCAGTCTCTCAGGGCTCCACGCCCTAAGATGTACCTACTACACAGAGCTTTGCTCAGGCAGTTAACAATGTTAGCCTATACACCTCAGTATGGCGTATACAGTGTTGCTTGGGCAGTTTGTAAATGTTGTCCCGAGGCAGTTAACAATGTTAGCCTATACACCTCAGTATGGCGTATACAGTGTTGCCTGGGCAGTTTGTAAATGTTGTCCCGAGGCAGTTAACAATGTTAGCCTATACACCTCAGTATGGCGTATACAGTGTTGCCTGGGCAGTTTGTAAATGTTGTCCCGAGGCAGTTAACAATGTTAGCCTATACACCTCAGTATGGCGTATACAGTGTTGCTTGGGCAGTTTGTAAATGTTGTCCCGAGGCAGTTAACAATGTCAGCCAAGCACCCCTAAACATACACTTGCTTAGGGAGTTAACCTATATTACGTATGTATATACAAGCGACTCATTTTTGTAGCTCTATGCCTAACAATTTCGAACTATAGCCAACTACGTACGTTGCTCCAGTATGCTGAAATACACACCTCCAACTTGCCACAGGAATTGTGTATGAAATATAGTGCAAGACAGCACTGGTTCTGTGGGGAATATGGCTTACACACACACACACACACACACACACACACACACACACACACACACACACACACACACACACACCAGAAGAAAGAAACGGTGTTTGTCGGCAAAGTGCCACAATACAATACAAATCACCATGTTGTTAGAGGATGGTGAATTGTATTGTATTGTGGCACTTGGTGTGGTAGAGTGCAAGCTTGATACAAGCAAAATCCGCAAAATACAAGCTTGCCTGACAAGCTTGCTTCAAGCTTGCCTGACAAGCTTGTGTATAGCTTGGCTCAAACTTGATAATTGAATAGATATACCCAAGCCTGAACAAGCTTGAACAAGCTTGGTTATTTTTCAAAGGGCAATTATATAAATCAGGAGATATGTGTATGTATGACTTCAGCTATAGTCTAAATCCAATATGGCAGCTAACGGTTTAGATCATAGAGGTAGAGTTCCACAGGAAGACAAGTCAGGATCCACGGGTCTTAGAATACAATACTATGAGGAGGTCAGACCATACGTAGGTAGGTAGTGGAGTGGAGTGCGCGTACACAGTATCATTATCATACTGAATTCCTGTCCTCCTCACCCCACACATGTGTACTTCCTACTCTCTTTATCCAGTGCATTCGCCCATATCGTGGGCCCTGTCCCTCCCATATCGTGCTCCCAGTTACAACGCCAATCGAGACCTCTCTACTCTCTACTTTAGAGATTAGATCACTGGTTATATCACACACACGCTATAATTACAAACACACAAACACAACACAATGCATATGCCAAGCGCTTTAGGCCATCATACACAAGGCAACTTGCAGCAACAAGTTGCCAACATGCTGAGACAAAAATTACCAACAAACTATACATATGTATACAGGGCAACTTAGTTGTGCTTATAGCAACAAGGTGTCCTGTTTAGTAGGTGAGGTATCAAAGCCAGACACCAACACTGTTAAGTTTGTTCTTCAAAGTAATCCTCAACCAACCAAACTGTTCTACCTTTTGATGTGGCCGATAAAGAGTGTGTGCTGTAAACACCCTCATACAGTTATCAGCTGAGCAAGTCCATGTACCCCTTGCCACTCTCCTTTTTTATTGTTTAAAGAGCTATGAGGAGACTACCAGAGGCCATTTTAAGTAGTGTTGTAAGCAAGAGTTAACCCCTTATCACCGGCAAAAACTAACACCATTTTAGGCACCTCCTCCACTACAAAGCATTACAGAACATGTAACATTAACTGCTTTCACACCATATTTCATACACTGCTGGTGTACAACACAACTACCATCCATACACTCTTTAACACTGTGCAAGGTTCAGGACACCTCACAAATCAGGACAACCTATAAATCAGGACAACTCTCGGATCGGAACACTGCACTCACTCAAATCCACATCACAGCTGAGACGCACTTCTATAGGACAATACCAATCAATCACACCTCTACCAATCAGAACACCTCCGTCATCATACTATAGTACTCTACTAACAACATACACCCCTTAATCAGAACAGTCCAAGGGATAGTGCCACGAGCCACCACCCCCAGTGTTTAAACCAACCCCCAGAGTATAATATACGTATCTGCCACTTATTACACAGAGTAATACATGTATCACACACCTGCACACCGTGCCCATTACCTCCCTAAAAGGCTAGAAGACTAAGAGACGCATGCTCTATATACGGCTGGTGCTACACAGTCTCAACACGGATTAAGGATTCTGGACACATTACTTAAGGATTCTGACAGCATCCACCAAACGGAAAAGGGGGTCCACCACGCTATGTATGCATTACTACCTACACAAGCCTTAGAGAAGTTTCTTCTTCTTTACTCTTGTTGGTTTTTGTTTTCGTCAGTGTTTGTGTTTGCAAACTGTTCTCCATACTACCGTTCTCCAATTTCGAGTGCCGTTAGTGGTCCTACTATCATTACGTCATTCCCATACATCGGGAAAAGTGGGTCCTACTATCATTACGTCATTCCATACATCGGGAAAAGTGGGTCCTACTACATATCTTGAAAAGTGGGTCCTACTATCATTACGTCATTCCATACATCGGGAAAAGTGGGTCCTACTACATATCTTGAAAAGTGGATCCTACTATCATTACCATACGTCAGGAAAAGTCTGACACCAAAAGGGGTCCCCAAATATACACATGAATACACTGTGCTTTGATGACAAAGCTGATGAATGCATAACCAAGTGAAAATAGCACATCCTTGGAGCCATATACTTCTGTATGATGTGGTGCAAATGGCACACAATTCCAGATAGCCTATACCGTTGTGGCAACAAGTAAAGATGGCCTGGTTGGCAGGCATACCTTTCTTTCCATCGGTGTCCCTAACATTAGGGACTTAATGATACAGTATACTACTAGTATGCCATCACGCCCACACCAAGGAAGATATATAGACAGCAGAAGACACGCCCACACCAAGGAAGATATATAGACAGCAGAAGACACGCCCACACCAAGGAAGATATATGACAGCAGAAGACACGCCCACACCAAAGGAAGTAATAGACAAGCAGAAGACACGCCCACACCAGGAAGATATAAAGACAGGCAGAAGACACGCCCACACCAAGGAAGATATAGACAGTAGAAGACACGCCCACACCAGGAAGATATAGACAGTACGAAGACACGCCCACACCAAGGAAGATATAGACAGCAGAAGACACGCCCACACCAAGGAAGATATATAGACAGCAGAAGACACGCCCACACCAAGGAAGATATATAGACAGCAGAAGACACGCCCACACCAAGGAAGATATATAGACAGCAGAAGACACGCCCACACCAAGGAAGATATATAGACAGTAGAAGACACGCCCTGCTATGAAGACAAGTCTAGAACATGACCACCTCATCTCTCACATGTCATTCTCCCATGACAAACATGTAACATGCCATTTTATGACTTTAGCAAGTGTTCTGTTAGCTAGAAACATTACCACCCTGAATTCTACTGCATATTATTATCCCACCACTACTTTTCATGACTACTAGAATCCTTATACAGCTCGAGCGATTGTTGGTAATACTTAAGTGCTATAGCTACAGCAATGACAAGTTCCTTAGTAGCTAGTTCTTGGGAGAGAAAAAAGAAGCGTACATAACAAACTTAACAACAAACGCCGGCCCTCCCTGACCACGTGGACCTTGAAAACATGGAGATTTAGGAATGATCATTTTTCGCAAACGAAGGACCGCACAATCCCACACGACACCGTATCTTACAAGTACACATACCCTGCTCAGTAGCCCCTTAATCTTACAATGGGAGGGCATGCACACACACTATGTAGTAGGCTGAACAAGGTTTGTGGACTCAGCCATCAAAATACACCAGCTCCAGTCGTTTCAAGAGCCTACAACCACCTACACACTCAAGTGGCGCAGCAAACCACATTCCGGTGAGTTGGGTACTTGGCAAAGGGCCTCCAGATTCAATTACCGTCCCCTTAGGACCATCAGTTGAAACAAAGACGGACCGCTCGAAGCGGCCACACCCATATACAAACAAACTTCACGGAAGCGAGTCTTCCTTCGGGGCTGCATTTCGAACGTACCTCGGTGGAGGAGCTGGATGCTGTACAGTCTGCGGCACCCTTTCTTGAAGGTTCCTGGAGCCTTGACGATGCAGAAACTCAGCAAATGGAGAGGTGGTAAGGAGCTGGTTCTTGTCTCTCTCGCAACGGTGTTCAATTTTTCTTTTTCGTCCTCACGGATAATTAGAGAGCCGTGAAGTGTCGTCGTGCGCACGCGCACTACGCGAGCTCGTGCGCATGCGCAATCTGACGCGCATCATGCCCATGTAGACTGTCTGCAACTGACCAAGGTAAATAGCATGTTTATTCGCATTCCTGTAATGTGAGTGTGTCAGTCGCACGTCCTACGGTTTCATAATTTACTGGAATTACTTTACAGTGAGTGGATTCTGTGGTCACAACCACATTACTGTAGCCATAGCTTTGTGCTCACAAAATCATAATTAGACCATCCTATTTCATTGACCTGCTGCACATCCACTAATCCAACTATGTATGTACGTTGATACTGCTGTAGCTGATAAACTGCTAGCTGTATGAACAGACTAGGCTGATTTCCTAACCTTTTGTCCCTGAGTTAGGAAACCAGCAGGCCATCCTGCCCAGTCAATAGCATACAGCTTCATTGGTCATGCTGGGATATCCTGTTCTCCCACCACACCTCAGTTAAATCGCCACTCCTGAATGTAGCTACATATGTACAACAGGATTTCCACTTATTTGGTAAATTTATCCACGTGCTCGTAGATCAAGTTTTGTGTTCTGACAAATGGCCAAAAAGATGAACTGACATGCAAAATTTGTTCTTTATCCACGTGTATGATTCCTGTAGCTTCCCTGTTCCTGTAGAGAGGTTAGTCAATTTCCCAAGTCTATAGCTCGTGCTTGCTTAGTCAAGCTGCATTGCACTTCAGCCACATACATGTCTGCCTATAATTACGCTTCACATTCATCACATAGCTTGCAGCTAGAATTACAAACTAGCGGTCCACTTGTCACAAATACATAAGATGCCCGCACACATGCACACAGACAGAAACCTACGTGATAACGATACTCAAAAGAATGAGTGGACGGTAGAACACTAGGTGGCGATAATTGATACACTGAAGATTC